GCCCCTCATGGGGCTCGGCAGTGGAGCTGCAAGGCCGGCACCGGCGGCCGGGACCGTTGGGGGCGGGGTGTGTGGCCTTATGACACATTTCCGGTGATGTCAGGAGGTGTGACCTTATGACACACTTCCGGTGATGTCAGGGGGTGTGGCATATGCTAATGAGTTATGCTAATGAGTTCCCCTAGCTCTTTTTCTATGAAATGACCCCTGGGGATAGCTTTGATATGTCACTTATTTGACATTATGTATAAGTGCACTGTTTTTACCAGATTATTAGATTTAGAACTTCATAAAATGTTGAATATGTATAACATAAGACTTTTTCTTAATTTCTCCTTTAGGACGACGTAGACAGTTTAAACCCAGTTCTCAGGGACAACCCACAGCTTCAGGAGGAAGTAAAAATCTGGGTAAAGGAACAGAAGGTGCAAGAGATTTTTATGCAAGGTAATTTTGAGAAAGATTCATGTCTTTTAACTAAATGGGTCCCTTGACATTTTTACACAGAAACGTAATTGGATGAAAAATAATGTTTATAAATAGGATTCTGAATTTGTTCTAAATTTACTTCATAGAACCATCTTCATGGTTCTGAATCTGTGGTTTAGTATGTGGTGAATAGATTAATGGTTCACCAGTGGTACTGGTTGTGATTTATTCTGATGTTAAAAGAGGATTGTTTCAATATTAAAATGTAATCACATAGTTCAAGTAACGGGGACATGATCCACTCAATTGCTTTTGCTTCTTTGGAATTGCTGGTGTAAGCCAAATGGGCCATTGCCTGGCAGTGGAGTTTTCCTATTAAGCTATTCTTTCTCATCTTTAACCAAAAACTCAAAATGGAGTTGCTTTGGTTTTTGTACCACACTGGTTATGTATTAAATGTAAAACTGTTATGTAAATTGTTATATGTTATTATATATTGTAAGAAATAAGTGCACATTATCCATGGTTACAAAAGGGTATGTAACATCTGGTCCCTTTCTGGAACCCCTTGTATATAACACCTGCAACGGCACCTCTGTGTAATGCTCTGAAATTATCTGTATTTTGCTGCCTCTTTAACTTCCATAGTGTTTACTAATGACTTTCTTTGTCACCAAAGGCTCTGGGCTTAGACCTCTTAGTTTAACATAAAGAACAGGATGGCTTAGTTATATTTGGTAGAATAACAGAACAGTCGACTTGTGGGGGTAGCTGTGAAGCAAAAGGGGATCCTTTACTCTAAATCAGAGGTGTCAAACTCATTTGTTATGAGGGCTGGATCTGACATAAATGTCTCCGTCTGTCTGGGCCATGTGTGCCAAAAAAAGTGATGCCAGGTACTGGAGATAGAAACTGTATAAAGGACAGCAGCTGGTAAGCTCCGAGTTGGTGTGTCCTCACCGCAAGGCTCCCTGGGGTAGGATGGGTGTGCAGAGGAAAACCAACGGAGGTGGACCAGAAAGGCAGCAGTGCTATGCTGGGCAGATGCTCCCATGATGCTTGACTGCTGCAGGTGAGATTGCTCTGCTGTGCTAAAGCCATAATGGAATGGCTCTGCCCACTCTCCCCCCAAGCACTCCCTCCCTTGCATCAGTTTCTTGCAAGCCGCATAAGAGCCCTGGATGGGCTGCATCTTGCCCCTGGGCCTTATGTTTGACACCCCTGCTCAAAATAGAACAGCTGTTTTTACTTAAATGGAATATAGTTTATTAAGAACTATAAAAGCTTAATGGTTCCAGTGTTGGTCAAAGGTGTATTGTTCCTTTATAGTTCTAGCTTCTTGGTTACAAGATATGTGCAGCTTGTCTTCTTTCTGTTTTCAAGTTCCCTAAATAGACCTAGTCTCAAAGAAGATTTATTTTCCTTACTTGCCACTTAGGATAATAACTTCCACAGAAAGCACACAGACTTCACTCAGTCCACAGCACCTCATTCAGTCTCTCCTCTCCTCTCTCTCACAAACCCTCTGAACAAGCCCAGTCAACTGTACCCACCAGGGCACAGCTAGCATCCAGTCATAACACACTTCACTCACCCATCCAGCACTCCTCTTTCTTACCTTAGAGGCCTGCATTTTAAATCACAGCAAACTTATGTACAAAATCCTACACTAAACCACAGAAATAAAACATTCAGAATATTTACATAGCAAAACATTACAGGGTGTCTGCTAGAATATTCTAAAAAAAATTGAAATGCCTTTACCCTGCATCTGATTTCTACAATCGACATTGCACCGGCACTGATATTGGCAATGCTTTTTTCTTACTTGCTAATGCCATAACCTATATTACATTTTCTGATATATTTTCGGTGTAGATCACATTGAAATAATAGTGACGACTTGATTTTTAGTAAGTGAAAGTTTTTAAATAATAAGTTAAAATTTCTAGCCCTCTGTTTTTATCATCTTCTGTCTACCCAGCACTGGGGTAAATAGAAATTCTGCGTTTTACCTTTTTCCTTGGTCCATGCTGCAGAACCACTATTTAGATACTTGCAACAAACATTTGTAGCTACTATATATTATTTTCTAGTTCCACATTACATCTTTGTTTGTAACATTGGTGGGGATTGCCAGTGTGGTATAGTGGTTAGAGTGTCGGACTAGGATCTGGGAGACCCAGATTTGAATTCCTGCTCTTCCATGGAAACTTGCTGGGTGACTTTGGGCCAGTCACACATTGTAAGCCTGACCTACCTTGCAGGGTTATTGTGAAGATAAAATAGGGGAGAGAAGAATGATATAAGCTGTTTTGGGTCCCTGTCAGGGAGAAGGGTGAGTTATAAATAAAGTAAATAAATAATTGTTGTAATTACATAGTCATACACATGGTGTTCAAAGTACTCTACAGATTCTTACAAACTTTGAACCAGTCTTAATTGTTCCTGGTTCACAGAATGGGAACCTGGCCCTGTGAAATAGTGTTTGATTATATCAGAAAGCACCCTTCCAGATGTGAAAGGCATATTCCAACCACAGAAGACCTGTTTTACATATTGCGCTAGACTGTTGCATAAGAAAAGTGACTCTGAATTGAAAGATGTCTTTCCGCTTGCACAAGACATTGTATCATAGCTTGCACAATCTGCTGCAAAGGCAGAAGTATGACAGTTAGAATAAATCCTGCCTAATATAGCACTGTTTATTCAGGTGTTTCCAGAACAGCAGGGCTATCCTGCTCAGTTCTTTTGAGTCAACCCAGTTGATCCAATATGGTGATATCTGAGATTAAATATGGACCCATGTTCATTACATTGGTCCTTAAACTGCATAGTCTTCTAAGCAGTTTTTCATAATATGGTTTCTGAATAGTCTGTAAGTGGTATCTGCTGTGATTCAGGGATGCAAGGTCCTTTGAAGCGCATTGGGTAGTTCCTGGGATCCTGACGGTGGTTTATTTTCCCAGGGTAGGGGAGCCATAGAATTCACAGAGGTTAGAGAAAGCAGAGATGGATTTCCACAGAGGGATGGCAAGATGGATGGCTGTTGCAAAACATAATCTGGGTATTGAGATGTGTGGGATGTGAGCCCTGGGGTGATTGGGGGATAGGGCTTCACCTTTCCACGTGGGGCAAGTTTCCTAAAACTGGATTGGGAGAGGGTTCCTGCCAGTGAAGTCAGAAAGGGTTGAGAAAAGACCAGTAATATCCATTGGTCTTGGTCCAAATGCTTGGTCCAAATGCTAGGAGGTGGATTCCCCTGTGGGGAGCAGGAGGGGGTCTGGTTGTGCATTTGTTTCACAGATATCTAGGCAGGGATGTCAGAGGGAACTGCCTGTATTGTTAAGTTTAGCTTAGTATTATGTTTTCTGTTCTTTTCATTAGATCTGTAACCAGTAGGCATGATAGCTATTTTCCATGTTTGTGCTCTAGCTTAATGTGTAACAATAAAGTCTTTTCCTGTTTAAGAAAGCAGACTGTGATTCAGCTCCTCCTCACCTGACCTTAGATCTCTCTCTAATGCTTGAACACATTTACACATAAACACAGCTAAAGTAATTGGGAAACTCTGCTCTTTGTACTTGCCCAAAGGCAGCCTTTACTAGTGTTCCCCAAGCCATTGGTGATTTGGGAGGCTGGGTTCTTAACTTGGGGTGGTGGCACAGTGAAAAGGACTGCACTTTACATGACGTGAACATGCAACACACATGTAAATACTTACACAGACCCAGGGCAGGTTTATGACAGTATCAACTTTTCAAAGCAGTTGTTAAGCCAGGAGTCCGTTTAATTACGTATATCCTCATTTCGCTGTCTTACCATTCTGCTGGCAATGCTAGCTTTCATCTCCTCCACCTCTCTGTAATCTTTCTCGTGTGATGGCACCTTGATTCTGATCTCCAGATTCACTGTTACCATTTTGGTGCACGGTGGTACACTTGATGTTAGCCAAAAGGCTGAGAATCAACGGTGCACTGCATTAACAGCAAAATAAATAAATAAAATAGATGTTGGGGTTTTATTTAAAAATCATCTATTGGCTAATGATTGTTGGGTTGACATTGACTATCTTTATCATTTCATTTTAATTAATCGTATACAATTATAAAATAGTATTGTTGCAGGCAGCTGGAGCTACTGATTTGTGTGGTTGTACTCTTTTTCCCCTGCCCCATCCCCTGGTGCTGCTTCTGATTTACACTAGTAATGTTTAGTAAAAGGTAGTCATAATTAAAACATGGTTTATGTATGTTCATTGTACTGGCATTGCCACCGTATAAGCATGCTTGTAAAATAAACTTCAGTTTCTAGAAAAATCCTATCTAGAAGTACTCATAGAGTACTCTCTAGAACAGAATAGTACTATGTCATCTGTTTGTGTCTGTAAAATGCCATCAAATCACAACCGACTTATGGTGACCACAGCAATGGGCTTTCAAGGCAAGTGATAAGCATAGGTGGTTTGCCCTTGCCTTCCTCTCCAAAGTCTTCCTTGGTGGTTTCCCGTTCAAGTACTAGCTCTGCTTAGCTTCCAAGATCTGATAAGTTTAGGCTGTAACATGCCGCCTTCCCTCCTGTCTCATCTGTTTAGGAGGGTAGGTAATAATACACAGATCAGAGAGGTTTGTCAAGACATACGGTACTAGAACATTAAACGCAGTTAACTCTCTTAAGTACAGTTTTTGATACACCCAGATTATTTTTACCTTAAGTGCATATGTGGTCACATTGATGCAATTTTCAGATGAACAGAAGGGCACACAAAGAAGGTCATAGGGGCAAATTAAAATAATTAATTCTCAACTGAGCCATAGAATGTGGATCAAAAAATCCACATGACGGGGCCAGTAGTATTTCTCCACAAGCCTGGAGGAAGCCCAAAGTTTGCAGAAAAATATGAAAAGTAAAAATTAAAAATTGAGATAAGAAAAACATAAAAGTCAGAGAAGCAGTGTCATCTCCTTTAAGAAAAGCATGTCCCTGCGACCTCACAACACTTGCTATGAGGTCTTGGTGGACTTTTGTGCTTGATAGGCAACCTGAAGCCAGCATTGCTGAGTATCCAACCCTTCAGTTGGGGCCAAACTACATCTACCACATGATTGCCACAGGGACTAGCAGCAAGATGCCAGTGGTGTGGGAACTCAATTTAGAAGTGCCACAAGGATCAAATTCAGATAGGGACCATGGCTTGGGGGAGGAAGGGCTCCTGCCTTCACCTTGTGCCATTTTCTTAACCTGAAACTACCAAGGGGGGCATTTGCCCCATTTGAGGGCTGCATGTGCAAGCATTCATTGCATTTTCAGATCCCCCAAAGCAACTAACACTTCCTCAGGGAGCTTGTCCTCTTCCCACACTGCAGTCCCAATCCAAATCAGGGAACTCACAGCTGTTGTATGGCAGAAGTTCCTGTGGTAATCACATGATACATGTAGTTTGGACTTTACTGTGGGGGGAGCTAAAAAGGTAAAAAGTAGGAGGAAGGGAAGGTAAAACTGGAGGGGGGAGAAGCAAAAAAAATTAAAAGACAAGCTGAGATGGGGGAGAGGAACGGAGGAAGGGAGGGGAAGGAGAGGGCACAGGTTTCCAGGGGGAGAAGCAGGAAAAATGGGCAGGTAAATGGGTGAGAAGGAGGGCTGCAGGCACTGCCAAGGCATGGCAAACAGGAAAAGCTTAACAGAGAGGGGGACTGAGGAAATAAGATTCACCTCCACGAGTTATCCTTGTTCTCCCAGTTATATTAGAAAAGAGATAAATTTGTTTAGCCAAGTTGAGTGACAAGGTGAGAAGAAGAGCAGATAAAAATAAAATTGCTAGAGAAAGGAGAATCCTGCATGGGAGAAAGTAATTTTAATTGATTTGACAGTGAATCTGAGCCAGACATTCCTATATTGTCCAAAGCATGATTTTGGGTTTTAACCTTATTCTCAGATCCTAATTTGACTGAAGCTATTAAGGTTCATTCCTGCCAGTCTAGCAGTTCAAGAGCAAGAAATTGCAAGTAGATAAATAGGTACCGCTTTGGTGGGAAGGTAACAGCATTCCGTGTGCCTCGGTGTCTAGTCATGCTGGCCACATGACCACGGAAATGTCTTTAAACAGCACTGGCTCTTTGCCTTGGAAATGGAGATGAGCGCCACATCCCTAGAGTCGGATTTGACTGGCTTTCGAGCAAGGGAAACCTTTACCTTTTCCTATTAAGGTTCATATTCTTGCAAAAGATGTAGTAATGCTAACAGGTGAAGCATTGAAACTGAGAATATGAAGAATAACTTGGGAAGGAGCAGCTTACACAGGCAAGTAATCCATAGGGGTTTTCATGGACGTCAAAAATGATGATAGAACATAGCTGCAATTTCTGATTAAATTATGGTTTAATTGCATGTATTTATTTCTACACTAAATTAATATTGTTTCTCCCCTGTTGTATACATAGGATTTAAGATAAAAGTTGTTTAATTTTTGGTTAATAGGCAATTTGTAACATATACGTCATATGTTTAATTTCATAACTGCATATTTTCTAGTATCATAGTAGCTGCAAGAAGGAAAAAATAGGCTGCTCAGCCACCTTGCCTAAACGACTGCAGAGGATTCAAACCTGTGGTCATTTTTGGGAATGTCTTGGCAGCAGTGGAACCCAGCATTTCAAGAAGGAATTGTTTCCACAGAAAAAGAATCTGGTCATGCAAACAGCTGCTGTATGACTTCTTTCTGTACAAGGAATTAGGCTTTTGCTTTTTCGGTTTAGCATTTTATAGTTAATATTTTGAAAATTTTCACCAATCTTTGCTATCACAGATTGCTCAGTTAAAAAATATGTCCTGAAAGCCCAGGCTTTTAAGTAATTTAGAGTCTATCAAATATTACATTTGCATTCTTTAAAAATCCTTTGTGAATACAAAGCAAAATGTCTGGTAGCTCTAAAACCATGTGAGATGTTTAGTTTTTGTTATTTATGCATGCAGCTTGTGATTCAGTGTGCTTCTAAAACTAGATTTGAGAACTGAACGTTTTAAATCTCAAAATCTTCTTTTTAAAAATTATTTTCTTTTAAGGTCCATATTCCTTAAACGGCTATAGAGTGAGAGTATACAGACAGGACTCCGCCACCCAGTGGTTCACTGGTATAATTACTCACCATGATCTCTTCACTCGTACTATGATAGTTATGAATGATCAGGTAACCATTTTTTCTGTTACTGAAAATAATGATAGGTATTTGTATGTTAGGGTTTTTGTCATCATGTTCACTTTATTATCCTAAAATCAAATCACATATATTTACTTTTTTTTTTTAAGTATTGATCCAAGCGTAAATTTAATAATCTGGAATCTTCAGGGCTAAATTAGTGGTGGAGAATGTGCTCTTGTGCTAGTTCCCTGTTTGAAGAACTTAAATCCTCTTATTTGGTCATTACCCAACCAATAAAATAATTACAATCAAATTAAAGGTGTTCTGTCTAAAGGAGTAGTGCTTTATATTTTTTTTTAAAAAAATGTGTCATGAATTACTGAGGTGTAACACCCAGTGATTACTTTAAGTGGCTATAAATTCTTACTTTGAACAAAAGGAACTTTAATACTTAGATCAGCAGTCCTAAGTATTCTCATGGTATAAGTGGAGGAATCCCAGAAAACGTTCAGACTGCTTGCTCAGTATTAATTTTAAAAAATCTGTTTTCTTTAGGTGACACCCCCTCCCATCTATTGTTGGGGTTACAATAAGGTCTACGGTTTAAGAAATAATATGTAAGGTTTTTCAGTGTGATTTTCTTTTGGAGATTACAAAAGAACTACTAATGGTTTTCTGGTAATTATTGAATATACTTGCTTGAAAAGGAAGGGATGCCTTTTATATAATCCTTAAAAAAATTGTGTGTTGATTCTGTTACAACAGGCTGTGTCAAACTGTCCTTTATGCAATCTTTCAAGCTAGACCATCAGTTTTTATTTGCACTTGGCATTCATATGGAAAATATAGAACTAAAATTGATTAAATATTTCTGTTTTCCTGATAAACCAGGTTTTAGAACCACAAAATGTTGATCCTTCTATGGTTCAGATGACCTTTCTAGATGATGTCGTTCACTCTTTGCTGAAAGGTGAAAATATTGGTATTACATCGCGGCGCAGGTCTCGTTCCAACCAGAACAGCAACACCGCCCACGTAGATATATTTTAAAATTATATTCCTTTTAATTCTGTTCATCCAAATTCATTTGGATAGAGAGAAATGAATTCCTGTTTTCATTTAGGGGCACTATACCCGGGCTCAAGCAAATAGTCCCCGGCCAGCAATGAATTCTCAGAGTGCAGCACCAAAACAAAATTCACACCAGCAGCAACGGAATACTCGTCCAAATAAAAGGAAAGGTTCTGACAGCAGTGTGCCCGATGAAGAGAAGATTAAAGAAGAAAAATGTGACTATCTAGGTCAAGGAGGTAAAGAGATTGTTCCAAGGGTCAGAGAAGTATTTTTAATGTAATACTGTATTGAACTAAAAATATTTTTTTCTTTTTTCAGAAAATCCCAAAAATAAAAACAAACTCTTTCTTTCTAAAAGAAGAAAACCTGAAGATGAAGAAAAAAAATTGAATATGAAGAGACAGAGGACAGACAACACCTCAGACTACTCAGAGAGCAGCGACTCAGAAAACTCAAACAAAAGATTGACAGATTCTTCATCAGAGCAAAATTCAGAGAATGAATTGAAAAGCAAGAGCACTTCAAAGGTAAATGGGGAAGAAGGTAAATGTCAGAGCAGCAGTGTTGTAGAGGAACAGACGCTAATAGATGGTCAGCCTCGTTGGCATGAAATACCAGAAGATAAAAAACATCAAGAAATACAAAGACCCGAGTCAGCTGATTTGGAGCTGCAAGAGATTTCACTCCATCAAGCTGAACAGCTGACAATTTATGATAGGAATGCCAATGACATATGCATTCAAGAGGATGGTATAGACAAGCAAAGCCCCAGGGAGCTCTTACCAAATGAAGAGTTTATATCCAGCTCTCCTACACCAAAAAGTTGTATTGATATGAATATTGACAATAATGCCACCAATGAGAGCCAGGAAAACATTTCAAGTACATTTGGATTGCAGGGCTGTCTGAAAATGGAACCCCATGGCAAAGATACAAAACATCTGTTTACAAATGCAAACTTTCTAGACGTAAGGAAATCAGAAGTTGATGAGAATTGGGTTAATAATGTCAGCAAGATGGACTTGCTACAACTGAAAGTTATGAGAAGTACATCAGCAGGCGAACATCTACATTCTGAAAAAGTTCAGTATGGTTCTACATCATCTTTAACTGTTATTTCTATAGCAGAAGAGGGCAGAGTACGTAAACAAAGTCCAGTCCCAGATGCTATGAAGTCAAAACCTGGTCATTTGCTTGACAACCCTAAAACCAAGTCAGGTTCCTTACCTGATGTTAAATATAAACATGCCCAGTCTCCAGATTCTGTGAAGTCTAAACTTAATTACCAGAACAACCATGTTACTGGAGTAACAAGGTCAGGAACTAAAACTGAACATGATTTGCCTAGGTCTAGTTTTCATCCAGTTCCGGCTAGAGTTAGTTCATTAGAAGCTACTAAAAGTCCTCTTATTATTGACAAGAATGAACATTTCACAGTTTACAGAGATCCCGCTCTTATTGGACAAGAAACGGGAACTAACCACATATCACCATATTTGCATCAGCATAATTATCCTCCTCATTCCACTTCCCATAGAACTTGTCTCAATCCAAACACACATCATCCCACATTAACTGGTGCATCCCATTTATTAGTTGGAACCTCAAACCAAGCTCCTTTATCGTCTATTAGTACTCATCCTCTTAGTGGTGCATCTCACCATTCTGTTCATCACCCACATCTACTTCCTGCAGTGTTACCTGGAGTGCCTGCAGCCTCTTTGTTGGGAGGCCACCCACGACTAGAGACTGCTCATGCTAGCAGCTTAAGCCATTTGGCATTAGCACACCAGCAACAGCAACAGATGCTACAGCACCAATCATCACATCTTCTTGGGCAAGCTCACCCTTCTGCTTCATATAATCACCTAGGACTTTATCCAATTATTTGGCAGTATCCAAATGGAACACATGCTTACTCAGGACTTGGAATACCTTCATCTAAATGGGTGCATCCTGAAACCTCTGTGAATACTGAGACACCTCTGAGAAGAGTAAGTTGTATTCAGTTGTCAAATTATTTTAAATTGGTATATAATGCGTTTGTCTTTGGGTTCATAGTGCTTTTATATGGCTTTAATAAAGTTGCATGTTACTCACCCAGCTAGGCAAATATTAGTAATTGCTGCTATGTCATCAGGCTTTGCTTCTGGAGATAAATTTAATAACATATCATAGCTCAGTATTATCTCTGTGTCTTAACAGAATGGTGTGCCTGTTGATATAAAGAATACAGCACCTTTTAAAAACTATTTCAGATTCATCTTCAAGGGGCTTCAAGGGAAGGATGCAGAGAAACAGAGCGGCTCGGCGCCCTTCCAGCCTACGGCCCATCCCAATGGTGGCTGGCAGTGGGGCCAAGATGGAGAACCCCCCTCCGTCACTGGTGCTGTGCAACGCCAGGTCTATTAACAACAAAACTACAATCCTTCGGGATTTTGTACAGGAACAACGAGCTGACCTGGCGTGCGTGACCGAGACCTGGGTGCGGGAGGGTGAAACGGTAGCCCTCACCCAGCTTGCCCCACCTTGGTGTACCGACCGCCTAATGCACCAGCCTAATGCTGCAGGCCGTATCAGGCTGGGCGTTGCAGCACTCTATGCTGATTGTTTTGGGTGATTTCAACATCCATGCTGAGGACGCAACCTCCAGCCGGGCTATGGACCTGGTGGCACTGGGACTCTCTCAGTTCATCTCAGCTCCCATGCATCGGGCCGGTCACATGCTCAATTTGATCTTCGCCCGATGCATGGGAGTTGAGATGAACTGCAGTGCCATGGTGTATCTATAATTAAATGGGATGTGTATGAAGGAAATTTTAAGCCGTATATTTTGGGGTTTTTTTTGGAAAATTTTGTTCCACTGCAAGTAGCACAGAAACTATGGCTTAGCTTCTGTTGTCTGGTTTCTAGGAATGGAATGACTTCCAGCAGAGGAGTGCAACTTTCTCACCTCTTCCTCCTACTGCAACCTAAAATGCCCCCTGAAATGCTACCTTAGGGATGGGGTTCCTTGTGTCCTGGGAGCAGCATTTTGGGTGGCATTTTATGCTGTAGTGGAAGGGGGGAGGTGAGAAAGTCTTGCTCTGTGGGCAAAAATTATTGCACTCTCAGAAACACTCTGATTGATCCAAGCTTGTATTTTGTCTTTAATGCCATATAGTTCCAATGGAACTGCTTTGTAAAACTTTCTGACATGAAACCATCTCGGGACCTGGCCAAACTGGCCAACTATTGGCCGGTCTCCAATTTGCTCTACTTGGGCAAATTAATAGATAGGGCAGTGGCAATACAGTTGCAGAGCTTTCTGGATGACACTTCTACGCTGGTTCCCTTCCAGTCCGGCTTCCGCCTGGGTCATGGGACAGAGATGGTGCTGGTCACCCTGACTGGCGACCTCCGTAGGCATCTGGATTGGGGTGGTGTGGCAGCACTGGTGTTGTTAGATCTGTCGGCTGCTTTCAACATGGTCGACTACCAGTTGCTGACCCACCGCCTCGCTGACGTGGGGATTCAGGGGCTTGCCCTGCAATGGTTTGCCTCTTTTCTCCAAGGTCGGGGACAAAGGGTGGCGATAGCGGATCAACGGTCCCGGAGACATCCCCTTGAGTGTGGGGTGCCTCAGGGAGCTGTGCTGTCCCCGATGTTGTTTAACATCTACATGCGCCCCCTTGCCCAGATTGCCCGGAGTTGTGGGCTTGGGTGTCATCAATATGCGGATGACACCCAGCTCTATCTGATGTTAGGCAGCCAGTCGAACTCTCCCCCGGATGACCTCCATCGGGTGTTACAGGCTGTGGCTGGGTGGCTGAGACTGAGCTGGTTGAAAGTAAACCCAGCAAAGACGGAGGTCCTGGGCCTGAGTCGGACCGGTTCAGGGCTGGGGCTCCCACTCCCGACCTTCGATGGGGTGCCTCTGGTGCCAGCGTCGGAGGTTAGGAGCTTGGGTGTGCTCCTGGACTCCTCTCTAACAATGGAAGCCCAGGGGGCAGCCACTGCCAAGTCGGCCTTTTATCATCTTCAGCTGGCTCGGCAGTTGGTCCCCTTCCTTGACTTCAGTGACCTGGCCACAGTGATCCATGCGGCGGTCACCTCAAGGTTAGACTGCTGTAACACTCTCTACTTGAGGCTGCCTTTGTCGCAGATCCGGAAGCTGCAGCTAGTGCAGAATGCTGCAGCCAGGCTGTTGATGGGTCTCTCTAGGAGGGATCACATTCGGACTGTGCTGAAAGCGCTACACTGGCTGCCAATACCATACCGGATCCACTTCAAAGTGCTGTTTCTTACCTTTAAAGCCCTGTATGGCCAGGGTCCGGCTTACTTAAGGGACCGCCTTTCCCCATATGTTCCCCCAAGGGCACTACAGTCGGGGAGTCAACATCTCCTGGAAATTCCAGGCCCCAGGGATATTAAATTTGCTGCTACCAGAGCCAGGGCATTTTCGGTGGCAGCTCCTACCTGGTGGAAGGAGCTCCCTGAGGAGACCCGGGCCCTGTGGGACCTCTCTCAGTTCCACAGGGCCTGTAAGATGGAGCTCTTCTGCCAGGCTTTTGAGTAGGAGCCGCCGCCACTACAATTCCACCACCGCTATGTATGCAGCATCGCACCACTACCACCAATATGTGGTTCCATCGGGGTGCGAGGTGACCCTGGAAGGAGAGGGGATGACAGGTTACTGGAACGATGGCATTGGACTAAGATCTACCCCATCTTGCAATAAATGGAGCACTGACACTTTGTTGTTGTATTATATTGTTTTAGGCTGTTTTTATCTGTTTTAACTCTGGCACTTGTTCCTTGTTGTTAGCCGCCCTGAGCCTTCGGGGAGGGCGGGATATAAATCCAAAAATAAATAAATAAATCCTACAGGTTAAGAGCTACTTGATGGGTTCAGCTTCCTAAAAAAAAATCTATGAATTACAGACTTCAATTATTTATAAACACAAAAATTTAGTTTTGCTGTTAGCAGGAGGTTACAAAACGCTGGTGTTTTTTTAAAAAAAACCTGAATTAGAAAAACTCAAATGCATTTTTATCTTTGAGTAGTTTTCCCAGCTATTACTGATATATCTAAACAGTAGAGTGATAGGTTATATTTAGCATGGTTGTGTCCTGATACATACAAAATATAACTCCATATATGGACAGAACATGAACAATCTCCTAATTGTGTTAAGGAGATTGGGAGCATGTCCATAGGCTTGCTTGATCATCACTCTTTTCACCTTTGTGAACCCCTGGTTACCATTAATTGTGGTTCAGCATTACATCTGCACTATGGTTAGCTTTTCAATTAAGATTAGATGCCACTTTGTAAACCCTGGTTAATGTCAAGGTTAGATAGCACCAGCAAAGACATAATGCTTCACCATAGTTAATACTCAGGCAGGGTAGGGACCTGTGATGAGATTTGCTAGGATTACAGCTGCACCAGGTCTGATTCACTGCTTAACCAGTGTATTTTAGAATACAATTCCTCAGTTACTTTAATGCTGTGTGTGTGCTGGATGTCATGAAAGATTAGTTCAGTTTGTACCTACCAAAAATAAACAGTGTTAGAGCTGAAAAATTGGTTTACTTTTTAGTCAGACTTGCTAACTTTTCTCTCTGTCATTCTGCACACTGCCTGTGTTTTATTTAAAACTATTACCTTGTTCTTAAATAAGCTGCATACTACAGCATTAAAATTGTTTTCAAAATCCTTAGTACAAGTTTCCAGAACAAAATATTGTGACAGTCATTGTGAAAACAAAAAAAAACTTTCTATTTGGTATCTTAAGGTTTTTGGGTGAAAGAGAGTGATAACTGTGCTCAGGTTCCAGTGATAACTATGAAGTCCAATTTTGTTGCCGTTAACAGAATACTCCTAGTCCTTGGTTACACCAACCAACCCCCGTGACCTCAGCTGACAGTCTTGGGTTACTGAGTCATATACCTGTAAGACCATCCAGTGCAGAGCCACATCGACCACTCAAATTGACGACACACTCTAGTCCTCCATTGTCAAAAAGTATAGTGGATCATCATAAAGAGTAAGTTTCCATTGTTTAAATCTATTAACACAGAAATGAGGGAATGCTGAAAGTGTGAGGACTTGCAGTTAAGTATCTAGTGTTTTGTTCCAAGTCACTTGTAGCCATGCTTCATGTATTACACTTAAAATGTGACCAACAGTAATCTGAAAAGTATACTAATAAGACAGATATTATTAGCATTGCATGTTTTGGGATAACATTTGGAAAAAAAAGATCATTTAATTTTATATAGCATATAATTAATTTGAAACTCAGTTAATCAAATGTTCTGTATTTTTGTACAGAGAAATGGAAAGGAAAGGTATTTTTGAACCTTTACGTTCAGTTGCATCTACTCCAACAAAGTCTGATCTAGAACACAGCAGAATGCAAAATGTAAAAGAGGGCCATTTGCAAAGACACTTTGTAGACCCGCTGCAAAGGTCACTTCAAGAAACAGGAGAGAGGCTAAGCAAGTATAAAGAAGAACATAGGCGGATACTTCAAGAAAGCATTGAGGTTGCTCCTTTTACAGCTAAAGTCAAAACACTTGAGGCGGAAAGGGAGACTTATTCCAGAATAATGCCATTATCATCTTCTAGCCCCAAAAGCCATGGAATAAAGCACGAAAAAGATTCAGAACTCTATAAAATGAAGCATTCGGTACCACAGAGCTTGCCACAAAGTAATTATTTTACCACCTTATCAAACAGCGTGGTGAATGAACCACCAAGAACTTATTCATCCAAAGAAGTTTCAGGTGTGAGTGCCGATAAACCAGGTAGCTGTCCTTCAACAACAGCTTCTGCTCACTCACTTGCTTCTTTCACTTCATCTCTTTCAAAACCACCACCTTTGATTAAACACCAACCAGAAGCTGAAAGCTCAGTAAGCAAGATAACAGATCAACTTTCACAGCAAGTGACATCTCATTCAGTAAATTCTTTCCGAAATGACTCTAGAAGTCCTACACAATTGTCAGTTTCATCCTCAAGTACACTCCGGACTATGCCTGCTTTACACAGAGCACCTGTGTTTCACCCTCCAGTCCATCATAGCCTGGAGAGAAAGGAAGGCAGCTATAATAGTCTTTCTCCACCAACCCTAACTCCTGTGCAGCCCGTTAATGCTGGTAGCAAAATCCATGAACTGCAGAAGCCACCAACTTTAGTACCTGAGCCAAAAGAAGCACAAAGCATATACAAGAGTGCTTTGGAACAAAAAATTTCAGATATGTGGAAATGTAGTGATAATCTGAATCATGATAAAATGGAATGGCATGTTGAAAGAACTAGTGGGAAATCACCTTCTGCCACAGCTTCTGTCATTGTACGTCCACCTTCAAGTACCAAGTATGATACCGTGTCTGTAGTGCAGTCAGCTCCCAAAGAACGGATTACTGAAAGATCATTGACAGGGACAAGCCAAACAGACTGCCTGAAACCAGCAGAAGCCAGTGAAACTGGAAGAATCATTCAGCCAAACTCAGACACAATTCATATGCAGTATGAAAAAAAATTTCCAGTTGCTTCCCAGGGCAACATTCCCTGCTCTGTCGTGCCTACTACAGTTATACTGTGCAGTACCAAAACAGTTGTAACTACTTCTGTCGTGACTACAGGCATTCCCAGCGTGGGTAGTTCAGAAGTGACTTACTGCTCATCAAATACAGCATTGTCTTGTGCATCAGTTGAAAGCACTGCATCTAGAGCCATAACACAGGAAGTGACACAAGGACAAGAATGCGCTGTAAGTACTGCGGCTCCAGTTATACCAACCTCCAGCAAAACAGAAAGTGCTCTTCAGTCCAGCTCTGGATTCCCTGGACCATCTGATTTTATTCACTTGAAAAAGCACAAGGCGGCCTTGGCTGCAGCTCAGTTTAAAAGTAGCAGTGCCAGTGATGCAGAGTCCAGTGCTGTGAAAAATCAGTCATATCCAGCCTCTGTTTCCCTAGACAGTACTGTCATTTCTACTACAATAAACAAAGCAAATGCTGTAGGCAATGGGCAAGTTTCCCAGATGAGTCAAGCAAACTACCACACGAAACTGAAAAAAGCTTGGCTCACAAGACATTCAGAAGAAGATAAAAACACTAATAAAAAAGAGAATTCAGGGAACAGTGTATCGGAAATTATTAAGCCATGTACTGTTAACTTAATAGCTTCTACGTCAAATGATTTGCAAAATAGTGTAGATAGTAAAATGCTAGGGGAGAAGCTTGTGAAAGAAGAGAAACACACAAGGCGAAAAACAAAAAGAACTTACGAGTCTGGCTCTGACAGTGGTGATTCTGATGAAAGTGAGAGTAAGTCAGAGCAAAGGACTAAGCGGCAGCCTAAGCCAACTTACAAAAAGAAGCAAAATGATTTACAGAAGAAAAAGGGTGACGCAGAGGAAGAAATAAAACCAAATGGTGTTCTCAGCAGGATTGCCAAAGAGAAAAGCAAACTGAAGTTACAGAGCAGCAGTAGTAATAGTAAGTATATCATTACATACAAATTGGAACTGAAGAAAATTATTGTGGTCTAGTCTCTGTGTATGCTGTATTTTAAATAAAACCCCTTAAAATTCTGAACTAAACAAAGTTGAACCCTACAACTTGTACAAATTAGGCAAATATGCACATATATTGCACACTTCTGCTGATCATGAACAAGGAGCTATGCATAGCAACCAGGCACACTGAGTCAGACTTTTGAGATTTCACAAAGCTTTCCTCCACACACTTTTAAGCCTGTGGTTCAGCTTTAAGATCTAAAAAGTTGTCTTTGGAAAAAAAGAGAGAGAGAGTGAAAGAGAACCAGCCAGTGTTATCAGACTGCTGAATTGTGTGCTGGATAATTCATTTTGCGCTTTTATAATACACCTCTGGGAGCAGGAATTTATATGCACTTGGATCCACCATATTGTTTTCATGGACAGATTGATTTCTGCCTATGCAGCTTGACTTTCTCACTTCTCATTGCAGCCAAAAATGCTGCTCCAAGGAGTAGCATTTCGGAGGCATTATGGATTGTAGTGGCAAGAGAGAAGGAAGAAAATTGTGCTCCCTAGGCAGAAGTCCTTCTGTCTACAGAAATGCTCTGGTGGATAGAAGCCATGGTTCTGATGATGATTTCTTTAGTATATGAAAAATAATGCTTTTAAACAATAGTTTGAAAAGCCATAAGTGTTGGCTTTATCTAAAACATAAAAAAAATGAAGTGTGAGGATGGGCAACTTAAAAGCTGAATTTCCATAGTATATTATTGTAAGCATATTAATAAATGCTACATGTAAAGCTCATTAACTCTGACCTGGATAACCCAGGCTAGCCCAATCTTGTCATATCTCAGAAGTTAAGCAGAGTCGTCCCTGGCTAGTATTTGAATGGAGACCTCCAAGGAATACCAGGGTTGGGATGTGGAGACAGGCAATGGCAAACTACCTCTGAATATCTCTTGCCTTGAAAACCCTATGAGGTCGCCATAAATCAGCTGTGACTTGACGACAAAAAACAGCCACAAAAAATGTCATTAACTGAAACAAATTGGGAGAATGTGCTCTTGAAGCTACCAGTAAATACTGAGAAAGGGACTGTAGCAGTAGAAAAGTCTGGTAGCACCTTAAAGACTAACAACATTTGTGGCAGGGCAGGAGCTTTCATGAGTCACCAAAACGATTTGATCAAATGATACAACTGCTACCAAAAATACTCCTTAATTTGGCTTAATTGTCCATGTTTATTAAATGTTGCAGCCAGGTATTTTTTGTACATGGTCTGTACACACATATGCTGATCCATGCCTTTTTGCAGTATTCCAGAACCCACTTTCCTGTCGCTCTGTGCCCAGTCTTATACTTCCAAAAGGCCATGTTTGTCCTTCTTTTGTCACCATTTGCTTCCTTACCTATTTGTGCCTTCCGTATAAATGGTCCTGTTCTTCCCTTGTGTTAGCTCCAGTGTAGATAGCTTTGAGTGTGTGTCTATACTTTGGTCGAATTGTTTATCACTGTTTCATATTCCATAAGAATGCAGGTCTGGGCATATAATATATGGTCTAGACTATTTCTGTCTAAATTCCAGACAGATTTTTCAGATGGATAGTTGCTTTTACAAGTTAAGAGCTGAACAAGAATATGTTTTTCCTTTATGTCTATGACTGGTAATTTTTAACTGTATTTTGTCCATAGATATTTTCTCCAGCTGCATGATTGTATGGAGAAAACCAAAGCATTGCCCCAGTATTATAGGTTATATGCATTACATAAATGACTGTGATCATAGCAGCTTTTAAAAGCACCACTGTGATTGTAAAAATCAGTGTGATTATGTGCTACTTGTTCATTGGGTGTTTTGAAGGATTATTGCAGAGTAGGGTTGCCAAGTGTTCTTACCTTGCCCGGCGGGGGAGCCTCGCTGGGCTCCAGGAGGTCCTTGTCGGCGCGTGCGCGTGCGTGCCACCAGCACGTCACAGGAAGTGACGTGCTACGTCGCTCATGTTGGGGGCGTGGCACAGATCGTTGGGGGGGGAAACCATATGGTTTTCCCCCCGACGATCTGGGACACGCCCCTAACGTGAGCAACGTGGCTGTGTCACCTCCGGTGATGCAGATTCGGGGGGCGGAGTTCCTCCCGGGGCCCGATTCCGCCGCGGTGGAAATTGGGCCTCGAAAGCGGGGGTTTCCCCGCCCCCACTTGGCAGCCCTATTGCAGAGAGAAAAATCAGTGTCAGAATTGTGGCCACTATTGTACATGGTGATTGATAAACAAAAGGTCATCATGGCATACTCTTAAGATTTCTTCTGCAGTATCATAGTTACATACTTTAAAATGTGAACAGAGTGTCAGGGTTCCACAAAATGCACTTGCTGGCTTGTGTAAAGAACTTTGGTTCCCTTAAAATTCTGCTCTGATTCAAAGTTTAGTTCAGTCTTCTGATGAGGCCTGCTTGTGCTTGTGCGTTAAATAGAGTTCAAAACTGCCTTGCTGAGAAAGAGCACAGTGACCTTGTGAAGTGTAGATAACGCAGCTGTGATGGGGAATTGGGAAGCTTGGTACTTTCTTCCCAATTAGCTGCATTCCTTCTATTTAAGCCGTGATTTGTACCTTTGGTATAGGGGCCAAGCCTAGCTGCAGATTGGCTCTGTGCCTTCCTCCCAGGTCAGGCCACCTGTTAGGTCACCTGTTCAGCTATCTGTCCAATATTTTGGCTATGTGTCATCACAAAGAGACCTTATTGGTGCAAAGGCTTAGACACTTGTTTGCATACGCCATTCAGCTCTGATTTGTGGTGATGTGGGAGTGGGAGTAGAGCCTAGGCTTGCCAAGTCCCCCCGGGGGGCGGGGAAACCCCTGCCCCAGAGGCCCATTACCCGCCGCCGGTGGATCGGGCCCCAGGGGGAGCCCCACCCCGGCGTGCGTGTCACCCAGAATTGACGCAACTACGCCGGGCATGCTGGGGGCGGGGCCTCAGCCATCCGAGGGGGAACTCTTTATGTTTTTCTCTCGGATGGTCGTGGCCCCGCCCCCAGCGTGCCCGACAGCGTCACGTCACTTCCAGGTGATGTGCATGTGGTGTGTGCGCGCACGCTCCAGATGCCAGCCAGGAGTCCCCCGCTGCGGCGCAACACCCGACTTGGCAACCCTAGTAGAGCCACTTTGGATCACTGGAGTATGGATAATATCTTGTAACTTGGAACCAATGTGTAACAGTTTTAGCTAGCCTTTAAATCTCTAGATTTCTTATTTTATCCTCACAGTCTTTTGTTCTTGTTTGAAGTAACCTTACAGCTTAATGAAAAATATATTTTCATTTACTTTTGTGGTTATTTGCTTTCGCTTTCCTCAATCTAAATCTAGCATGTTGACTGGCAGGCCACCTACCAGAGTAACTTGGCTTTTGTGAGAAACCTTGCAGGGTGGACTTTCTGGTTTAGACCCAGGAGGGTTAGAAGCTTTGCCCTTTGGCTTCTGACTACTGGGTTAGTAAAAGGGGCTGCTGGCAGACTACCAGACTGGTGTGTGAACAGTCACACCCCAGAGTTTTGTAATTTTGTGTTACAGCCCTGTAACAAGAAGCATTTGGCCCGGGCTGGGCTAAGTGACCTTTTGACAGCTAGCCTTTATGAAAAGACTGGCTTTTCCGGTTACTGTTTTAGGGGACTTCATTTTAATTGCACATTGTTAGGTGTATGCAAACCATTGGAAATGTTGCTGTGTTGAGATCCATAAATGTGTTAAATATATACAAAACTTTTAAGTATTCAAAAGGTCAAATATTCTAATGTTATTTTGTGAATACGTTCATTTATTTTAACTATGAGAAAGTAGGTTTTATTTTTATGTGTAACTTTTATATGTAGGAAGCAAACACATTATTGGGTAGATTAACCTTGTAATAGTACATATGCATAGAGTCCTGGAAAATATGGGTTTGGGGTCGTATATAGAATATTCATGTTTGTTTTGTGGAGGGGGTATGCATTTTTGTATGTGTGTTTGTGTGCCCATGCCTGAAAGTCATGGTGACCTCTGGTGACTCCTACTGGGTCACGGAGGACATTCAGAGAAGTGGCTTGATAGCATGCCTCTGGCTTCCCAGCCTTGGTATTCTCTGGAGTTCTCCCATCCAAATACTTGCCAGGGTTGGCCCTGCTTCACTTCTGAGATTTGACAAGATTTCCAGATCAGGGCAAATATTCTTCTTTTTTTTAAGTTCCTTGATCATCAAGGGAAAATATGCTGGATCATTTGTATCATAAATCATGGGGCAAATTGATAGCAGTAAAAAATGGATCGAAAATCTGAAAACTGGGTATCTCTTCCCCGAATTAAGTTATGATTATGTTCTTGAGTCCCACTATACTCGTTTTTGTCCCCCTCCCCTGAGCTCTAAATATGGTATATAAATAACATGCTTGTCAACCTTGCTAAAAAGTTGTCATTTTTGCAGCTGGCATACCTCGTTCAGTATTAAAAGACTGGCGTAAAGTAAAGAAGCTGAAGCAAACTGGAGAATCCTTTTTGCAGGATGACTCTTGCTATGAAATAGGGCCCAATTTGCAAAAATGCAGAGAATGTAGACTGGTGAGAAGTAAGAAAGGTGAAGAATCTGCCCACTCACCAGTGTTTTGTAGATTTTACTACTTTCGTCGGTAAGTGAAAAAAATCAATCTTTCTTTAGCAACTCCATTATGTTTTATAGTGATTCAGGCTGTGTTAGAACTATTGCAATCTGCGTGACTTGGGTTGCTTTTGTGGGGAGAGGTGATTTAGGTGAGGGAGCTATTGTGCTCTTTTGTGGAATTCTCACAGATGCCTAGAAAGATTTTTGCCTTTGGGGGAAATCTGTGTAAGAGCCTCAAAAAATTGCCTCATCTGTCCCTATGGGAATTGTATAGAGGAGTAAGAGTAGCTTCCCCTCCTTTTAAAGGGGGGAGGGGAATAAAACAAGACCTTTATGACAAAGGCTGCCATTACACCAGTCCCCAGAAGATAGATAGATAGACAGACAGACAGACAGACAGACAGACAGACAGAGATATAGATATTGATACATACACACATAACAAACAGTGCTCCTACGTGAAAACATAGAGGTCTGGGATAGGGGATACCTACTCTTTCTGATGTCACAAAAGTACTCTCTGACTATCATGTCAACAAGGATATGCTATAGCTGAATAAGACTAAAGGGGTGAGAGGAGGGAAGCAACAGCCTGAGATATCTGTGGTCATAAACAATGTTCCCTCTAAGCTGTGGAGTCTTGTGAGCAAAAATTCTACTTTGTGAGCTACTGGCATTAAAATTGTGAGTGAGCGATTTGGCTACTGCATCAATTAGTTTGCTCTGGAGCCCTCCTTCCTGTGCTAAGACAAAAATGTGTGAGCTGGAGGCTAAAAAAACTGTGAACTAGTTCACACTCAGCTTAGAGGGAACACTGGTCATAAACTAGGCTTGTGAGGGATGGAAAGAAAGGGGGAAAAGGTAGGACAAAGCCAGCTGGGCTATGATGTGGCCAGCTATGACCATATACATTTAATTTTTGGTACGCTTTCTACTAGTTTTAGTCTTATTTATTCATCCTCTTGAATTATAAGCAAGTTGATTCTTGCACTGTAAGAATTATGTAAAGCTTTCTTTTGTTTTCTTTTATTCGCCAGTCATTCCACATTGATACTGAATGTTCACAAAGAGATTACACTATAAATGAGTACCACAGTTTATGAGACATAGAGGAGGCAAAAGCGGGTTTGATTTACTTGAGGCATTTCAATTGTTTTAACCCTTTAATAGTGGTTCTTCTTAGACATGCCTTCAATATAGATGTATATCATAGAGTAATTTTGGGGGAGTGAACTTCAATATTCTTTTTCAGTTCTGAAAATCTGGTCCGTTTCCTCTGGAACTATTATGCGTGAGCTAGGCAAAGCGTCCTAGTTGTGTGTTCTCATTTATACTGCAGTTTTGTAGCACTGATTTATTATTCTTTGCATAAGATTAATCCATGCATTGGAGCATAACTTGAGCACTGTTCTTGTGTGTGTTATCTAGTGCAGATAGAGATGCTTGAACATTGTTCCAGAGGCAAAGTAGAAAATAACTGTGTTAATATAAGCAAATGACACGAATTAGAAATCTTTCCATAATGTCTTGTCAAAAGCTTTGACGGCCGGAGTTCATTAGTTGTTGTAGAATTTCTGGACTGTAGGGCCATGGTCTTGGCATTGTAGGGCCTGGAGAAATGTCAGGTCCTACAATTCCAAGACCACGGCCATATAGCCCGGAAAATCTACAACAACTTGCCATAATGCTACTATATCTTCTGGATTTATATTATATCCATTACCTTATTGGAATATTTGGCAGTTTCTCATTTACCTAATGCTCATCCTCTGGGAGAACCATTATCACTTTCCTGAATAGTAAGAGTCTTCTCACTGTTCAGCAGTGTTTGGGTAGTAAAGCCATGTTAACTTTACATCATGTGCCTTGGAATGATATGGGAGCTAGGGTAAAACAACTTGTTCCTGTGTCATTACACAATATTGATTTATAATAGCACATTTTTTAAAAATCCTGCCCTTCCTATAAGAAAATCAAGTAGTATACAGCCTCCTCTCCATGTTATCCTTGCAAAAACCTTGCAAGGTAGTTTAAGCTGAGAAAAAGAATTACTGGACCAAGGTCACCAGTAAGTTTCATGGCATATGTGGGTTTGAACCCGGGTCTCCCTGTCCTAATCCACTGACACTAAACAAAGTGAGGTTGACCATAGCAATTTAAAAGAATTAGGGTTCCAGCTACAGTGCAGATTAATAGAAGAGAGCTGTGAAATAATTGTGTTAGGTAGCATCAGCAATGGGCATTTATTTTAAACATTCATACTTTTTATCTCCACATAGATATCTCTGTGGTGGCTTACAGTAATAATTCTTAAAGCAATACATAGGAAGACAAATGGGTAAAAACAGCAGGACCCAGAAGAATGCAGTGCAACAATTTAAAACAGTAACACATATAAATATAGAAAGCTCTTAAAATCCTAAAACAGCTAATATAAAGCCAAGAAAAGCCTATTAGTATAATTGTGGAATAAAAGCAGAGTAATTTAACAGAATAGCTAATACAGTTCCACAGGGAAAGAAGATCTGAAAGACCCAGGGGAATAAAAATATCTTCTCCTGGAATCTGAAAGCTTTTAAATTCAGTACCAGGCAAACTTCTGTAGGGAGGGAGTTCAAAGCTTGAGCACCACTGCAGAAAAGGTTATGTCTCTAGTGCTCACCTACCTGCCCTGTAAAACTGGGTACACACAGTCCAGGGCTTCTGATTAAGATCTTATATGGTAGGCAGGCTCATATGGGATGATAAGGTACTCCTTTAGGTATCCTAGTCCCAGCCAAGGAAGAGACGTATGGGAAACCAGCACTTCGAACTTTGCCCCAGAGTAAACCAGCGACTGGTATGGAGCTTTTAAAGCTGGTGTGATAGGGTCTCTGCACCACCTCATTTTGGAGCTGCTGTCAAAAAGAAGCACATTGCAGTAGCCAACAGATAACAGTAGCATAGATAATGCTGGCCAAATTATACCTTTCAATGAAAGGCCACTCTGCAGCAGCTGCTGGTTAAAAGTACAACGTGCTACAGGGAATATCTGAGCCTCCATCTGTAGCTCCAAATCAAAAAGCACCCCTAGCTGTGTTCCTGCTCCTTAAGAGGAGAATGCAGTTCTGTCCAGAACAAGTAGACTCTTGAACATCAATTAACTTAGTTATTAACTAATACCTCATCAATCTTTTCCGGAATGACTGTCAGTTTACTGACCATCGTCCATTCTGTTACCACTTCCAGACAAAAGGTTGGCATATCAACTGTTTCACGTGACCTAATTGCAAAGGAGATGTAGAGCTGGGTTCAGTACACGGAATCTATATATTGGAGTCCAAAAACTTCAGAGGACTTCAGCCAGTGGTCACATATAGAAGTTAAACAGCATAGAGGACAAAATAGAACCTTCGGGAACCCCATATTTTAGATGCTATGGGGTTGAACAGCACCACTGTATGTAATAGAATTACCAGTCCATGTGGTAACTGGTTTAGCTAACTTGTCCTGAAGGATACCATGTTTTGATGTTACCAAAAGCTGCTGAGACATCCAGAAGAATCAACAGTTGCACCCTCCTTATCTTTCTCCTGACACAAGTTAGCCAGGACAACCAAGACAGATCTAGAACTGGGTTCAAGTGTTTTGCTAAGTAACATAAGCAAAATGGAGTATGAATAGATTTATTACAGTCAAACCCAAAGTGGTGGGCAGAAGTTTTGACCCCTCTAAGATAAATAACTCGGGGTGTATTCCTTCTGTCTGGAAGTAATCTCTGGTTTTACTGATTTTCAAGAATAAAGGGGAAATGCATGACCCACAGAACTATCCCCCAATTACCCTCTCAGTTATTGGGAAACTTTTTGGAGCTTGTTTAAGCATATGATTGAAGGAATGGATGGAGGAGTCAGAAACATAAGCAAAGGTTCCCTATCCTGAGGAGACTGCTCTCTATATTTCAACCAGTGAAGGCTGCAGGTTTCTTGATTATGGCCTACTTACATTCTGCTTGTCTTTTCAGTAGTACCTCTGCCAAGAAACTGGTTCAGGAGAAGACAGAAAAATGTGTGTCCTCTTGTGACCTCTTTTCAGAGGCATGGAATGTATTAGATTATAGCAGTGTTTGATCTAGATTGTAATTCATCTGTTCAGTACTGTGATACTTATCTGAGTCATTTGTGTATTTGTTTTGTAGGCTTTCTTTTAGTAAGAATGGAGTGGTTAGGATTGATGGCTTTTCTTCTCCTGATCAGTATGATGATGAAGCAGTAAGTTTATGGACACATGAAAATTATGATGATGACGAAGTGGACATAGAAATGTGTAAATATATTTTAGAACACATAAGTGACAAATTTTGTCAGTTAGTAACATCTGAGAAAACAGCCATGTCCTGGGTGAAAAAGGATGGTAAGGCTTTCAACTTTTTTTTTACTATAACAGAATTCAAATGTTAGCTTTAATAGTTGGCTCAAATGTAATGTTCTTCCTTGGGAATCCTCATATTGCACTGAAATGTTGTTTCGTTGTACTGTTGAGAACCACGTGTAAATTCAAAAATATACTGGGATAAACTGCACAAGCCATATTGGAGCAATTATGGTAGTTTGGAACCTTTTCAAAACCTGCTAGTTGGTTGATTTGGTTTGGGAAGGAATATTTTTGTGAAAGTCTGCTTACCGCTGATAATTGTTATTAAGGTGAAAATTTTAAGGTAGCTCTGTGCTGTTGAATTTTAGTGATTGAAGTAAGCATACCTTCTAAATTCAATGTGAAAAGGACTGTAAAAAAAAGGTAACATGTAACTTCTGATTAAGGCTCCAGTATTCAAAACAATCATATTAACGATTGATTAAGTTTTTGCTCAAGTGTGTGTTGTTCTTTCGTTGGCCTTTTGAAGTTCTGAGTGCGTCAGCTTACATCTGTGACTGCCAGCGGGCAAGAGAGGGAGGAGCTATGTTATATCATACTAGCAGCCCCTAGAAAATGTGTAATGTTTCTTATGTGGACAGGAGTGATCTTCCTTGACTGTTAAGTGTAGCAGGAGAAGTTTTCATTAAAATGGAAAATAAGGCCACTTCTGTGTCTGATCATGATTAAACCTCAGCCTAAATATCCTGAACCAAGGGACATACCTACATGTAGATCTAAGTTACCCGAAGTCTGTAATTTCTCCAGATTGTTCAATTTGTTAAAAAATACCTTTTACTTGTTCTGGGGCAAAGTACCAGAAAGTGAGTCCTTTATTTTTTTAAAAAAATCTTTAGGAGTAAGTAATGCACAACTTTGTGTTTAGAAGCAACTCATCAGATTCTTGCCTGTTCTTTCCCCATCACATTGGAAGCAAGGATAGCATCCAGTTTAAATATAAAGCTTGTTTTTGATATGGCAAAGTTATACATGGTAAATCCTAGTAATAAGACCCTTTGTAACCACAAAGGCTTGTAATAGAATTTTAGACACAGAGAGTTGCCTAGATACCTGATAATTTAAAAAATACTTATGCTAGTTACCCCCCCTCCCAATTGCCTGAAAGGAAATAATGACTCGTCTGTTTGGCTGAAATTTTATTTCTGTGCTACAGCTTTACAGATGTTTGCCTTTAAATTTCAGTACTTGGTCTTCTATTTACTCTGTATTTCAGCCAAAATAGCTTGGAAGAGAGCAGTCAGAGGAGTCCGTGAAATGTGTGATGCATGTGAAGCCACTCTGTTTAACATTCACTGGGTCTGCCAAAAATGTGGATTTGTGGTCTGCTTAGATTGCTACAAGGCAAAAGAAAGGAAGAGTTCTAGAGGTCAGTGTACTCTTGTATGAAGAATAACAGCTTAGAATTGCTCGTTTTAAATTTGAGCTTGCTTTTTGTTCAGCTAACAAAAACTATATGCAAAGTAGAATTTATCCTTCAAGTATCTTCATCTTTGTCCTAAAAAGCAAATTCCACTGGCCTTGTTATTCTCTTTGATATGAAAATGGGGTATCATGTGGTTTGGCAAATAGCAACAGCCCTAGAAATATACCTGTAGGATGTGTATTTTGAAAGCTGATTTGAAGGGCCAATATACACTGGAGCTTGCAAAACCATAACTAATATGACCTGTTAATATCTTTACAGATAAAGAACTTTATGCTTGGATGAAATGCGTAAAAGGACAGCCTCATGACCATAAACATTTAATGCCCACCCAGATTATTCCTGGATCTGGTAAGGTCACAATAGACTTTGAAGATGGAATTTATTTACTTTTTAAAATGTATCATTACAGAGACTTTGTTGATAGTGATTTTTAGCTTGCTATTACAAACTTGGTAGTAATATGTGAGAATAAGGTAAGACATTTATGTCCCCTCTCCTCAACAATGTGCTTGAGCTGAAGATCACTGGGAAGTCTTTATGTGTAAGGGTATTTATTCTTCAGTAAACCAGGTCCTGGAGCTGTGGTGGCTCAAGTGGTTAAGACGCTGAACTGCAGGCTGTGGAAGGTGAGTAGTTCAGCAGTTCGAGACCCGAGTTGTCACATGACGGAGTGAGTTCCCGTCTCTAGTTCCAGCTCCTGCCAACCTAGCAGTTCGAAAGCAAGAAATTGCAAGTAGATAAATAGGGACCACTTCAGTGGGAAGGTAACAGCGTTCCGTGCGCCTTGGTGTTTAGTCATGCCGGCCACATGACCATGGAAATGTCTTTGGACAGCGCTGGCTCTTCGGCTTTGAAACGGAGATGAACACCGCAACCCTAGAGTCGGACTCGACTGGCTTTCGAGCAAGGGAAACGTTACCTTTACCTAAACCAGGTCCTAACTGCAATCAATATGATAAGACTGAAATGATAAACTCAATTTGGGACATAGTCAAAGTCAGAAATTTTAAAGTAAAGGCTGAAGTAAGATTAGAATTATTTACAGTACTGCAAACCACAGAATAAAAATAATCCAAATACTGAACAGAGTATGAAACTGAAAAAGACCACCTCAGGTTTAAATACCATTGTAATTATCACTATATTTAATAGTAAAGTGGTGGCATGGCAATCATATAAGCAGTAAAATCAGGCCACCCACAGAAGAGGTGGCGGGGGGGTGCTGCTTTGTACTTAGGGGATTCGCCAGGTATACAGGAAAAATATGATATAAATTATCCAAAAGAGGAAAATATGCAAAATACAGCCTGATGAAGATTGATTATACTCCAGGAAGACAGAATGTTGAGGGCTGATTAGTCATTTTAAAAGGTCTTGGGAGGGGGGCCTCTTAGAGACCATATAGAATTCTTGAAAAAGAGATTTTGGTGGGAGGGGCATGATATAGGATTTCCAAGTTGTTCTCCACTCAAGACGTAAAATTTCTAGAATTTTTAAAGCCATGCAGGGCAGGGGAGATAATTTTATTCATTTTCCCCCCCAGAAATTTTTTAATTAATTTTTTCCAAGAAAAAATGTAAAGGGGGGGGGGATTAAAATATACACAGATTTTATACACACAACTTTTTCCAGTTGAGATTTGGGGGAAATAAGCATTGAAGATGAAAAACAAATTGTGAAGTAAACAAAAGTGTATTATTTGGACAAAAACACTCTCATGCAATCACAATAGATGTAGGAATCAGCATTTTTGGATATCAAGTTAAACTTGATAACATAGAACTTTTAAATGAAATATCATTTCGTACAGTGCATATTGTTGCCAAAATCCTTCACATTTAAACATTCTTGAGAGTATGTTGTTATATGTCTACAGTATATGTAGAAATTATCTGATAATGTTGTTATATACCAACATTTTCACACTACAATTTTTGAATAAAATCTTGTGTTGTAAAGGATTTTATTCCTTCCAAAAGAAGTAATATTTCATAGGAGTTTTTTGTTTCAGTGCTCCCCAAAATTTCCCAATGTTTTCACTGGTCAAATTGAAAAATTCCTCAGACTTTTCCATGGTACATGTTTTGATTTGGAGAAAAACTGGGGCTGAGCTGATTCTGCAGTAGGGTTGGCAGGGCCAACTAAGGAAATACCTGGGGACTTTGGGGTTAGAGCCACAGTGCATTAAACAATGGGTTTATAATAGCTGTCCTTTCTAAACATCAGCTTAAAATAATTAACACCCTGCTTAATATCTAATGGATGTACTGTGGGTAACCATGCCAGTTTATTATGTATGCCCTCCTCTTGCAAAGGTAAATCTCTTTTTCACTAGTTAACATCTCCTTTTCCACAGAAGTAACAGCAGAAAAACCCCAGAGACTAAAAGAGGGAACTGAATTCATATATTTTTTTAAACAGAAACATTTGGAGATGGTTTTCAACATCAAAAAATAAAGTTAGGATTTCACAACAGGCAATTTCAGATATTTAATGTTACAGAAAAGATCCCACAGATTAGGTAGTTTCTACTTGTAACAACTTTTCAGATACATGGATCAGAACGGAGACAGCACTGGTCACCCTCATGGACAACCTCTGAAGGCATCTGTGAAGGGCAGATCGGCAGTACTGTTGTTGTGAGATCTGTCGGAGGCATTTGACATGGTTGACCACCAGCTACCGATCCACTGCCTTGCCAACATTGGGATTCAGGAGTCTGCCTTGCAGCGGCTCTCCTCTTTCCTACAAGGTTGGGGACAAAGTGTGGTACTAGGGGAGAAGCTGTCCCAAAGGCACCTGCTGGTTTGTGGAGTGCCACAAGGGGCCATTCTCTCCGCAGTGTTATTCAACATCTACATTCGCCCCCTTACCCAGATTGTCTGAAGGCATGGGCTGGGATGTCACCAGTATGCTGATGACACCCAGCTCTATCTGCTGTTGGTCAGCCAGTCTGACTCAAGACTGGAAGATCTGGACCTGGCGTTACAGGCCATAGCCGAGTGGCTTAGGCTGAGCCAACTGGAATTGAATCCAATGAAGATGGAGGTCCTGTGTCTGAGTTGGAGTGGTCCGGGGTTAAGGATCCCAATCCCGACCATCGATGGGGTGCCATTGGTGTCAACTTCAGAGGTTAGGAGCTTGGGAGTGCTCTTGAAGGCCTCCTTAACAGTGGAGGTCAGGTCGCAGCCACTGCCAAGTCAACCTTTTACCATCCCTGACTGATTAAGAAGTTGGTTTCCTTCCTCGAACGTGATGACCTGGCAACAGTGATCCACGCAGTGATCACCTCGAGATTAGACTACTGCAATCCTCTCTACATGGGGCTGTCCTTGTCCCAAATCTGGAAGCTACAACTGGTGCAGAATGCGGCGGCCAAGGTGCTACTGGGTCTCCCTTTGAGGGAACACATTCATCCTGCAATTAAAGCTACCTGGCTACCGTTAGCATACTGGGTTTGCTTCAAGGTGCTGGTTCTTACCTATAAAGCCCTAGATGGCCATGGGTCTACATACCTGAGGGACCGCCTTTCCCCATATGTTCCCCAGAGAGTACTGCAGTTAGGATCACAAAATCTCCTTGCTCTCCCCAGCCTTAAAGATGTGAGGCTGGCTGCAACTATGGCTAGAGCTTTCTCGGTGGCAGAGCTGCTTTGATGGAATGAGCTCTCTGAGGATATCAGGGCCCTGCGGGACTTATCACAATTCCACAGGGCCTGCAAGATGGAGCTCTTCCACCAAGTGTTTGAGTGAGATGCCACATTAAATTGCCCAACACCAACTGGGTAATCTATGCCCTATAATCCATTCTTGGCTGCCTACTCTGACATCTGTGCCCACATTGAGGAACAATGTGTCAAGGAGCCAGACACCAGCCTTATATTTATTGCTGACCCCATTGTGGCTGATCAGGACAGTCTTTGACACCATATATATGTAGCACCTTTGGAATTTGTTTTTATGATTTTAGTTTGTTTTTATTGTCTTAATGTTTTTAGGATGCCAGTGGGCCCTGTAAGCCGTTCTGAGCCTTCTTCGGCAGGGAGGGCGGGGCATTAAATAAATAAATAAAACTGCTCACCCCCTAATTTAAAATTTCATGTAAGGACAGCTGGGAGAAAATGCTACAACTATCAGTATCAGTACCCCAGTCATTTCAAATTATAAGGAAACTAGCTGGCATCCTTAACAAGCTCGATACTTTTAAAAATGCCTAATTAAAAATGCAGTAATGAGGGCTTCAGAAAAGTGTTCCTGCATTTGACCAAAGATCAGTCAGATCCAGCATCCTGTTTCATACAAAGAGCCAAATAAACAGGGTATAGGGGCCAAGCCCTTCTCCTAATGTTGCCTCCCAACACTGTGATCCAGAGGTCGACTGCCTTTGAGTATGGAGGCTTCCCTGAGTCAATGTGTCTAGTAGCCACTGATTGATCCTCCCCTCCAGGAATCTGTCTGACTGCCTTGGAAAGCCATTTGACCATCACTACCCTTAGGGTTGTAAACCTCCACTTGGGGTCTGGAGTCCGTCTGAAGGATTTTGCAGCATAACGTCCTCCTAAGGTCCCCGCCCTCCCCATCCTGCAGCTCCTATCAACTACTTCACCGTACTCCAACTCTTTGCTCTTTTCCTCTGAAGCACCTTCCTTCCCCTCTTTCTCCCCATTGTTCTTTTCTACCTTTGGAGAGAGGGGCGGTTTCTGCCTCTTCCCAGCCTCCTTTATTAGGGGCAGAGATAGGGAGACCCTCCTGGCTTAGAAATATGGTGGTGCAGAGAAGGAATGTTGGGGGGAGGCAACAGTGGAGGAGAACATTTCGGCAAGGTATAGGGCTGTTTTATGTGTGTTCATCTGGCAGAACTGCTTTGCCTGGCCTGCTTTTTCCTCACTTGGCGTTCACCTCCCCCGCTTCCCTGAGAACAGGCTGGGTCCAGCAGCCTGCAACCAGCCTTACAGACTTTTGAGTTATAGAATAGAGGGAGGGAGAGGGAGGGAGTGTGGGAGGTGGACAGGAGAGCTAGGCAGCTGGGGCATGGATTATTCCAGGAGAGCAAGAAAACACACACACACATTTTAACACACACACAGACTTGGCTGGTCCGGGAGGTCCCAGCAGCGACTGGGACAAGCTCATTTTAGGATTTTATCCTATATTTAATTGAATCTGAGGAGGTGAGCTCTGACTCATGAAAGCTCATGCTAGAATAAATGTTACTGTGCCCCTGGATGTCTGTTTTACTACAATAAACTTGTTGGCTACTCTGGAATACCATATTGTAGATGAGTGTCAGTGAAAGTGTACTTTACTGAAAGACCAGTTACAACAGCTGTTTCTTCATTTTCTATAGTATATGAAAGGTGATGTAACTTCAGGCTGTTACCCTCAGGACTTTACAGAGTAGTTGTGCTGTATATGGAAGAACTATTATTTTCTTTATTCATATTTTTTAGTTCTAATGGAACTTCTGGAAGCTATGCATACTCTTAGAGAAAGATATGAGATTAAATCCCATTGCCAGTGTGCCGGCAAACAGAATTTACGAGTTGGCAAATTCCCTTCTATGAATGGGGTGTCTCAGGTAAGGCCAGTTGTGTTCAAATATACTTTTGTTAACTTTTGCATATTTATGGGGCACAGTCTGGTGCACTTTTGAATATGCTTCTACCCTGTTGATTTTCAGTGGCAGATATTTAATTGTGCATAATTGAACCAGGTGCTATTAAAATAACCATTGTTTTAATGTGTGCAAACTGATTAATATGAACTGTTTTACCCCTCAGATTTTACAGAATGTCCTTAACCACAGTAATAAAATTTCTCTGTGCATCCCTGAGTCACACCAGCAGAAAGCATCTCAAAAATCTGAGACCAATGGTAATACAAGTCCAGGGAGTGACGTGAGCACAGACAGCAAGTTGACTCCACCTGAATCTCAATCACCACTGCATTGGTTGGCAGATCTAGCAGAACAAAAGGCCAGAGAAGAAAAGAAAGGTAAGCAATGACCTATGTTTGTGAACCCCGCCACACACACATATGTTACTTTTTTATATGTAATGGGAAATGTCGGTCTGAGTGAATGTTGGGAAGCCTGTGCCACATATCTGAGGGGAAAAAACGACCTTGTATCACTAAACCTAAAGAATTGCCAGCTGCCTCTCGTTAATGTCCTGGTTTATGGCTTACATCAAATAATATTTTATCACTAAGCACATTTCCTGTTATAAAATTCAGTTATCTTTATATGGCAAAGACAGGAATGAAGAGAAGATGGGAGGGAGCAGACAGTCCTCCTGAGATAAAAAAAGAAAGCTAGCATAGACTTGCACTGGTCTTTCCTTAATTTAAGGGCCCAGGATTTCCTGTGGAAGAGGGCAATGCTGCTGGGCTTTTTTCTCCTTTCCCACGATAGACCAGCATTTCAACTGAAGAGGCAAAAAAAACCAGAGCATGTATCTGTGTAGCTAAAGCCACCAAGAAAGTCATGCTGTTTATTAAAATGAAAATGACATGCTGTTGCATATAGCACAAGGAGGGATCGTCCACAATATTGAAAGAGGAAGTCAGGAGTAACTAGTGATGCATCCGAGACCAGGGTTCATTGGTAAGGAGCAGCTTTATTTAGCAATTTATATCCTGCCTTTCTCCCCAGTGGTGACTAATTAGTCTCCTCTCTTCCATTTTATTGTCACAACAACCCTTTGAGTTAGGTTAAGCTGAGAGTGTATGACTAGCAGAATGGGAACTCAGTCCTGGGACTTCCAGATCCTAGTCTGACGCTCTAACCACTACACCATGCTGGCTGATCTCTGAGTTAATGCATTTCCTGACACCTAACTGGCAGTAGGGAGGTAGTCGTGGCCTATCAAGGGGAAGGCTCTAACCCCCCGCTTCAGAGGGAATTGGAGAACACTGAGGAATCCCTACTGGAAAAGTGGGCTTCCCTCAACCAAAACAACTACCTCCCTCTCTTCTGAGCAAGGCTGGGCCTAGCTTGCTTGAGGTCTGTTTATCTGAGCTGGGAGGCCTGAACAGCTTATAGTGAAGGTCACTAAAGTGGAAATTTTTGGTTTCCCATTTCTCTGCGGCTCATCTCTTAAAAGGGCCATAATGAATTGATAACCGCCAAGAGTCGGACACGACTGAATGGCTAACAACAGGAACAACTACTTCTGAACAAAATCAGGACTCTAAATAGATGCGTAATTGCCAGTACAGAGGTCTGGGGCAGGGTAGTAAAATAGAGTAAAATAGCAAGCCGCTTGACAAAAATGGCTGGTGGATGTGAACTGTTACCCTCTGTGTAAATCTGTCACTGGAAAATCTAACCACATCAGAGGATCAGATTGCATCATGTGTATCTCTCTCCTTCCCTCCACTTCTGTAGTCTGAGCACAGAGCCCTCTGTGTTGTGGTCTGTAAGCAGGAAATAGAGTCTGTAACCAGAAAACATAAAAATATGGAAGAATGCCTAGAGTTATAGAGAGGGCTGTGGTGCATAAGTAGAGCAGTAAAAGTTGATGGAACGCTTCACTTATATTTGGACTACAGTCCAGCAAGGGGATAGGTGCATTTATGCCTATTAAATAATTCTGTGTTGGAGGTCTATGGCAAGTGGTTCATTACTGTGACAGGATGGACCACTAGTCTAATCAGCAGGGCTGTTCTTATGAATGGTTTTAGACTAACTCTGGACAATGGTCATGAAGTTCATAATCCTTCAAGACAACTGTAAATTCCTTTAATGTTTTGAAATTAAACCAGTAATTTTTTTTGCAAGCTTTTTGAAGAGTTGTTCATTTATTTACGATTTTGAACTTTTGCCAGACTGTCTTGATGTGCTTTAATTGTTCTGGTAAACTATGAAAATAAGGAAGCAACAAGTAGGGAATTTGAAAACAGT